TATATATAGTTATATAGAGTTTTATATAGTTATATATATTTATACAGTTATATATAGTTTTGAAAAGACAAAAATGAGTGAATGCTTTTGTTGCATCAGACTCTTCATGTTTTTGTTGTCAGAGAGAAGTCAACTTTCACAGTGTTAACACTTTTCAGCACCTGCAGAGCATTTTTCTTTTTTCTTCGATTTTTGGAGTTTCCGGTGTTGACGTCACAAGTAGTTTCATTTTCCGGATTCGTTTTCTGACTCTGCACCGACAGGCGGAAATGAAATACGTCATCATGTCCGCCTTGTTGCTCAGGAAAACACCGGCTGCAGAAGTATGAAGTGAAGCTACGTCACTCCATACAGAAGGAGCTGACGTTTAACGGGATTAACAGGGTTTTGTATTTTACAAACAAAATGTGTTCTTCTTGTTTTTTGTTGACGTTTTGGAAACACGTTTTAATCTCCAGTTAGAAGTTTAAAGGTTGAACAATAAACCATACAATAAACATACAATAAACCAACAAATAACAAATTTTGCGTTTATAATAGTTTAACGCGGATGACGTGATGCGTGCTTTTGCGTCTTACGCAAGGCGTCTGTTTTAACACCTGATTGGTCAATCTTTGAAGACCCCGCCTTAATCCGGAAACGCGGTAAATTTAACAACTTCCGCCGGGGGTTTAGACTTCCGAGGTAACCCTCTGTTTTCCTAACTTCCATATTTATTTGTAATTGTTGATGAGAATATATATCGCCGAAGTGTTCATATTGTATTCTGAAAGAGGAAACTGTTGTAAATTCCGTTCGGTTCTGAAGGAGTTCCTGCTGAGACCCAAACAATGTGAAACATGGAGATTTCTCAGCGCAGTCCGGTTTGTGCTCTGCAGCTAGAATGGAGGTGGACGTCCTGGAATTCCGGGTTCCAGCGGAGAGCAACAAGTTCTTGATCGTGTGGGACATACAGCCGGTTCTGACGGAGGCTCAGATCTATGTAAGTCCATCTGGACCGGGTCTGGAACCATGAAACTAGATCTATTTGTAATTCTGTGGGTCAGCTCTGCTTCTAGTGCATTAGTGCAACATTTACTGGGCCAGTGGCTCAATGGATAACACGTCGGACCACGGATCAGAAGATTCTAGGTTCAACTCCTGGCTGGCTTGAAGTTTTCTGATCAGAAATGCAGCTGCTAGAGTTTTAATGAGTTGACAGAACAGATCATATCTCCAGCTTTAGCTTCTCTCCATTTGCTCCCTGTCAAGTTTAGAACAGAATTCAAAATCTTACTTCTAACCTACAAAGCTCTCGAACATCTAGCTCCAGTACAGATCTTATTGCTCCATATTTTCCTAATGGAGCACTTCACTCTCAGACTGCAGGTTTACTTGTGGTCCCTAGAGTTTCCAAAAGCAGAATGGGAGGAAGATCTTTCAGTTATCAGGCTCCTCTCATGAGGCTGACACCTGGTCCAGTTTCAAGACTGGGCTTAAGTCCACCAAAGTTCCGTCATGTCATCTGGACGGGTTCTTTTTTTTTGGGAGTGTGCTGCTTGTGGGACTGAGTTTGTTGTGGCTCCTCAGACTGATGAAGTCCTTTGGATGAAAGCAGAAATGTTTCAGCACAACGGTATTAAATTTTCATGAAATAACTTTTTCAAAACTAGAGACAATCATTTCAACCTTAAAATCATCGAGGGCTAAGGACATCTATGATATGGATACTATATTCTTAAAATCATTTACAGAGGCATTACTTTCTTCTCTCTGTAGAATCATAAAATGCATGTTAATAGTAATATTTTTACATCTTTTATATCAACCTGCTAGGGGACTACAGATGAAAATTAGCCTCTTTGGCTAAATCTGGCATATTTATGTGATGTATTCATGTTAATATGTCTTGTCCCTTTATGAAATAAAGAAACTGTCCAGAGGACCTGACTTAACCTGGATTGTTGTCGAGCATGGACTTTGATACCCAGAGAGGCTGTTTGTTTGTTTGTTTCAGGAGCAGATGTTTGTTTATTTCAGAAGCAGCTGTTTGTTTGTTTGTTTGTTTGTTTCAGGAGCAGCGGTTTGTTTGTTTATTTCAGAAGCAGCTGTTTGTTTATTTCAGTAGCAGCTGTTTGTTTGTTTATTTCAGAAGCAGCTGTTTGTTTATTTCAGTAGTAGCTGTTTGTTTGTTTGTTTGTTTGTTTCAGGAGCAGCTGTTTGTTTGTTTATTTCAGTAGC